TGTTCTTAAAAATGCTTTCCATGAACAACAGGTTTAAGAAGAATAGAAATCTCTCTGTATTGTAGGAAGCAATGGAATTTCTCTTCTATTTGCTATGCCTTCCTGTGGTATCAAAGGTGCTCCTTGGCAAGAGACAAAGAACTAGATGTGACTACTGATGGTGCAGTGAGTATGCTTCAGGGACAAAGTGTTTTAATATGAAAGTGGCAGCTCTGTCTTTTAGCTCTAGTAAAGCAGGAACTTAAATCCTAGTGGGATTGCTACATCTTTGCATCTCCTAATAGGCCTCAGATTGTAGAAGAGCTGAGCTGAGTGCTTGATTTTTCCAACAGGATAGAATAAGAGATTAAAATGCTGACTTTTTCACTGAAGTGATAAAAAGCCCCACAAACCAAACAACAAACATCTCACTAATCTTTCACTGTATTTTTTAACCATCGTTGTCAGCATCTCTTTAAAAAAATCTTTTCAGAATTTTGCTTCTTTGCTTCCTAACCCTTCAGCATTTACACTTACCAAAAATTGATAAGACAAAGAAATCTCCTTCCTTGACTTTTCTCAAATATATGACAAGAGCCTCAAAATCACTGCAGTATTGCTTGTGGGTAAGAGACATACATTAAAGTTAAAATGAATTAAAATGAAGGCCAAGCAGGGATTAAATGATCTATCCAAAGGCACCCAAGGATTTTGTGGTGGAAGTGAAGCTCCCATGTCATGGTAATGTCCCATCTGTCAGAGCTTCCTTGCTGCCACTGACAGAAGTTAGTATTCTTGCACTCACTTTCTGCAAATACAAATGACTAGGCAAGGCACAAGGCCATGGAAAACAGGCCTGTGAAAGAAGGTTGGTGTGTATTCAAGCCTGCAGCACATAACATCTCTTGTCCCTAAGGTCCTGTTTGCAGAAGGCAATGATAGAACTCATCTCAAAGACAGGAAGCTCTGTGGAAGCTAGAAGATACATTGGGCTCACTATTTTTAGTTTATTAAAGCTGCCTGTTATGTTTCCTTATTGTCTTCAGCTCTCTAGCCTCCTCTGAGATTTCTTACTCCACTCATTGAAAAGAAAGGCAGCATGCTATGATTCCTCTGTCTTCTTTGTCCCTAGCACATAGGATGAACATTTTGGTTTATGGCAGATGCTTAACACAAAACAGATGTGAAAGGGTCAAGGTAATGATGAGTCTGGTACCTTCCCAAGAAACTCTTTCTGGATCTTCAAGGGTAAAGAAAAGTTATCGGCATGGCTAGGGGGGGTGGGGTACAGGGGAAAGGCATGGTCTTGGGAGTGTTGGGAGTCCATGTGTCTGATTTGTTTTAATCTTTTACTTTCTTTTCACTATGAACCCCAAGAGCTTAATCATTGTGTATTATTACCTCTGTAACAGAGCAAAGTTATCATGTTGCACATGTTTTAAGGTGCATGCTATTTAAAGTCAGAATTATTTTTCTCTACCTACTTAATTTTGCTTCTTTAATGGAGCCTTAGAAAAGTAGTTTCAGAAAATCTTATTTATTAACCCATGTTCCATTTCACTATCAACAGCAAGGGGGTTTTTTCCTCCTTTTATAACACAAATACATTCAGAGCTCAAGCAAGAAAGCATTTAAATACGTATAATTTAAACTAGCTGCCCAGTCATAACCAGAATTCATCTGCACAAATTTTGTCACATGGGAATGACTCCTGGTGTTCTACCCATTCTGTTCCACAGACAACCCGTGGTCTGGTCTCTGCACCTTTGAAGTTTTACAATTTTGCCATGTACAGTGGGGTGGAACATGTGAGAGAGATCTTCTGGTGCGTAGTCAGCCTTGTACTATGTTCTGGGACATTATATTCTGGGCAGAAGAATTTTTTTTCCAACACTGAGGTTGAATAAGAACGCTCATACAATTCTTGAGAGGGTACAGTGAGGAGGAGCTGCTAGTATGTATATGTTCAAAAGAAGCGTAAAGGTACTGGGCTTCCACCTCAATGCATATGGGCTCCTTCTACATGGGCCCCAAGATACAGGCTTTGGAGAATATAAATTTATGTACAAGGGCAAGACTTCCTTTGGACAAGAAGACTGGGTGTCATGAAATGGAGTACTTGGGTCTGCTTAAAGAATCACCTTCAAAGGTATTAGTGAAAATTATTTAATAGGAGTTTATACAAGTGCAACTTCACAGAATTCGATGGCAAGGTTCACTCTATTACTTAATACATGGATGAAACGTACACAGGAAAATTTAGTTAGAATCAAACTAAAATCATGTATACAGAGACCACAGTCGCAATAGGGTAAAAGAGAAACATACAAAGGAAAATCGAGTTAGAATTGATTTCTCGTGATTTGTACAGAGATCAGGAATGTAAAAAGGTAGGGGACACCCTCCTGTTGAGTCACGAGATTCAGAGAAGACCCCCTTGCTTTCTAAACTCCTGTCGGAGCTTAAGTGCGGCTGGATCAACTCCTAGTCCCAGACTCAGACAACAGTTTATGTCTAAAGGGATTATAATAGCAGCCTGAGATTTATTCACAGTTGAATAAAATTCACGACAGTGACTTATGTATAGATTAATACACTTGCTATAGATATTCAGGTTAGTACACACACACACGCACAAAGACACTAAGAGATATATATATAAGCAAGTAAAAGAGGTACACCTGTTAAAAACTCCCCTCGAGTTCAGTGAAACTATTCATGTCAAATGCTTTGGCATCCTTCTCCATGGGTGAAGGGTTGAGCCTCAAGGAGCAAAGAGTATCAGCCCAGGTCCCATCGGCTTTTGGCGGCAGACCTCTGATATTTGCAAACTGAAGAGTTTGCGAGCTCTGAGAGGTGTCCCACTCAGAGGGAGATGCTGTTTGCAGCCCACTGCGATCCAGGAGAGCTCAAAAGGTCTCACTTAGTACCACTGCTTATGGGTTCAGGAGACGACTGGCTTTACTCATCAGCAAATTACTGAGATTCCAGTAGCAGTGGTACCATTTCACATACGTCATGATTCAGATAAGGAAGGCTCAAAGGCTGTCAGAGAATGACTTAAGATTCAGATACGGGATGGTCCAAGGCTGTCAGGGCAGGACTGAGATCTGTCCCAAGGTTGTCAGGAAATGACTAATTATCCCTACTCCTGTAGCCAGCCTCCGCCAGGCAACAGGAGTCTTTGGTACGGTCAGTGCGGCTCCCTGTGTTAGCCACGCAAGAGTTCCTGGTATGGTCAAGGGATGCTTAACTGCCCAACTCATTACACTTATGCTAAGGCCTAGCGAGACTTCCTGAGTTTGTAGATTGGCCCAGAGAAAGGGGAAAGTGCACTACCACACTGGGGTGTAAACACCAATCCTTTACCCTCCTCCACTGGGTTAACTTCAGTGTTTTTAGGATCCTCTGTTTACCTTGGAGGATCTGATGGTACTGACTGAGGTACTGAGTTTCTCTATTCTCCCCAGAGTTGTCTGTCCTTAAACAAACTTTAAAAAGCAAATCAGAAATATTGTTTCATGTTAGAGAGTTTTAGATTTGTGACCCTACTGCAAACCATTATAGACAGTAATATGTAAACCAGGCAGATTAGGATAGCTTCATGGAAACAATATTCTTCATCTCTTTTCCCTCATTTGGAGAATTTTTCAGCTTTTGCTGATGAATGTAGACACAATAATAAGAATAAATCATAAATAGAGGAGAAAAATATGTGCACTATGGTGATTAAAAGGAAATATGAAAATAGCAGATCAGTGAAATCTAGCCAAGTAAATTGAATGTGTATCTTCTAACCTGAGTTAGGAGAGATTTGAACTTTACTAAGAAGTGGCTGTTTTCCTCCATAATCTCAGTAAAAAATTGGTCGCTGCTGGCAAAATGAAAAATTCCCATTGCTTTACAGAATGCTTGCTTTTGCACTTTCTAACTAACTCTTCCCTCATGTAATAATCTTCATCCCCTCCAAAAAAATAGCAGGGGGGTGGGGGCGGGATTTCTCCTTTAGGTGGAGAGCTGGCATGAAGAGTATCTTCATTGGCTGGGAAAGCCAGCTACTGCCCCCAATGGAAACACGCTTTGCTATACTTGAATTGCCCCAGCACTACTACTTCATGTGTTTGCATGCCTTGAAAAGAATTATTGTGCACATAGACTTAATACTACCAAAATGAGCTGAATTCTGAACTTGATTTGGGTTCCGTCCCCCCCGAATGTGCCTGTTAACACTCACACTCTTACCTTACAGCTTCTAACCGCTGCCCGTTGCCGCCAGCGCAGGCAAACTGTGCCAGATCAGTGAAACTATGCTTTCTAGGTCCATTGTATCAAGAGTGAATCAATTTTTTCCCCTCTCAATCTTGGCTGTCTGAGCGCTGGCCCCTCCCCTCATGCCGGCTCCCGTCTCCTCGCAATGCTTTGGGAAAGAAAGTGCAAGTGCCCCTCCGCTTGTTTGATTTAACTTGTGTCCTTTCTGCCCTGGTGCTCGCCCAGGGAGGCGGAGGAGCGGGGCGGATGGCTCCGCTTGCCCGGGCGAGGCTAACCTGGCCGCTCTGCGAGGAGGGCAGGAGGGAGAAAGCCGGGGCTGCGGGAGCAGGAGCAGCAGCAGGAGGAGCAGCAGCAGCAGCAGCAGCAGGAGCAGCAGCAGCAGGAGGAGCAGGAGCAGCAGCAGCAGCAGCAGCTCCCACTGCAGCCTCTTTTTTTATGCGGGCTGCCCCTTTCCGCGCAGCCAGTGCAGCCTGCCCTCGGCAGCGGGCTGATCGCCTCCCTCCAGCCGCATTTGGTATGCATGAGCACTGCCGTTCCCACGCAGAGGGCCGCTTTCTTAAGGAGGCTCGGCGGCTGGAGCCGCGCCGCCCGCCCAGCCCAGCCCTCTGCCCGCGCCGGGCCA